TTCATGCGGCTTGAAATGGTTGGCGATAGTGAAGCATAACACAGTGTTTCATGTAAACGTTAAAGTTAATAAACCTTGAATTGTGGCGTGAAACGGCCGTTTGTAACTCCAAGAGAAGGTTATTTGGAGAAGCTATGTAAAAGGTTTTTATAAACTGAATTATTTTTTTCTTAAACAGTCCAATTTTATTACTGCCTTGGGAGCCAATTAAGTCTTTTTCAAATCCACAGATTAAAGCATCTTTTTTATATTCTTGTACGTCATATGTCCGACTAGCTAAATGACCTGTCAGTTTTTACTTTTCTTGAATATTTTGGACTTTTACTTTATTCACAGTTGTAAATTAACGGTTCCTTACCAAAACTAATTCGTAAATCTTCAACAAAGATTCTAATTAAGTTTCAAACTAAGCAGTGCTTTTATACCTATTGAAATGACGTTTTATCAGGCTAAAAAACTATGTTGCTTAAATTTTTTGAATCTAATTTATTTTCCTTCTTTGCTTTTGTGAGTACCATGTCATTCAAGTTACTTTTGCAGCACATTTTATGACGTTACCAAGATCTCTGAGTTATTTCGTATGTGATTACTGTAATACTCAAAAAACCATACTCCTGCTAACAATATTTATGTTCGTTTGGTAATGAATGTAAAGTTGGTTATTGTATTTAAAATTGAAGCACTTGGAGACGTGATGACAAATTATTTTTTACACAAGAAGGACGTTGTTGGCGAACCGAAGTAATTGTGTTTGTTACTAACAGAAAGCATATTTATTTAAAAAATAGCACAGTCGCCACTTTCTTATTTTAACCAAATAGCTTTTATATAGTAATTGTAAAAACCCTTTTTTTCGGTAATTGGCTGGCGTTTGTTTGTTCTTTTTTTTCTTTTTTTTTTTCTTTAATGTATTTTTTTATTTTAAAGAATTTGACATAAATCAGAAAGTATAATGTATTGAGTAAAACATTTGTTTAAAACAAAGCAAAAAAAAAAATTTCAGTAATTTATACATAAGTTTTACTCCACTAAAGCTCTGGTGAGATCTCTTATGCTACCTAAACTGCGGAAGTTAAGCAACTACCAGTCGCTGTTTATTAACTATTGTAACGATAGCTGAAGACGGCTTGAAACTGGTTGATACTGCAGCAAGAAATCTGCACGAGAATGATACGTTTGGATTGACTTCTTGTTCGCCCTTTAAGAAGAGCGAAATTAAAGGGGATTTCAAACTGGGTTACCGGATAAAAGGCTGGTTTTCAGTCTACTTTGAAGCGCAGAAACGGTATTTAACAAGTCGCACAGTAATCTGATCACCAAAAAACAAATCTTTGCAGCTGATTTAAGTACAGTTTCAGCATCCTTAAGTTTTTTTACTTTTTCCTCTCTGTAGAAATGATTATAAAAGCAACAAATTTTAATTTTTTAGGTAGTTTTTAGACAGCTTCGTTGGCAGCAAAATTTGGATGAGAGAGAAGAAAAGAGGATGTGCAGAAGTTTATACTTTCACGGTTGATGAAATTAGTTATTTTCCAGGTTTTAAATTATTTTATTTCGGTTGCTGTGAAAAAAAAATTTTTTTCAATAGTATTAGAAGTGTTCATTGCAATTTGAGCTGATTTTCTCTTAGTAATGCAAAGGTGACGACCAGTTGATTACAAAGAATTTCTGAGGAGGTTAAACTCGTTACACAAAAGTTGCGCTACGGCTTGTCTAATATGTATCTTACAGTCTGATATTGTTGCATCTGTCGTTTTGAATAGTTCATTTTTTATCAGAAATTGTTCTTCTAAAGGTTTTTATATATATTTTATATTTTCTAAGTGAGTAAAAACAATGGTTTTTTTTTTTTGAGATATTATAGATGTTTTTATGATTTTATGACTCATAATTGGAGCTTTTTTCGCTCTGTTTTCTTTTTACTTCAAATTTATTTTACTTGTTCTTTTCAGCCTTTTTTGCTGTTTTTCTAGTTCGTCATAGCAGTACTTTTTAATAAAACGATCTCTGACAAAGAGATTAATGGCTACGACAAAAACATAACAAATCTCTTTAAACTTCTTATCCATCTCTGTCTTATCCAGAAGTTATCAGACTTTTTTTTTTTGTCTCAAATTTTATTAGTTTTTGGGACAGGTGAAGATTTACTGCTGAAAATTAATTATATCTATTGTAGCCAATTGAATAATATTGTTTTTGAAATTTTTTTCAAAAAACTCTGGAAGAAGCACACTTTCTAAAGTGTTTTTGGTAGCTGTCGCATGGATGCTGACGTTAACGCTGACGCCACTGATACTGGACCTGATAGTGGCTTGAAAGTCAGCCAGATGGTTCCAGCAATTATGTAGTTATTTTTCAATAACAATATTACTGGTAATATTTGACATCTGACAGATGACTGTTTTTGTTTTTGGAGGAGCTGCTTGACAACAGTAAAAGCGTAACTTTGGCTAAACAGTAACAGTTATGTTTTCTATAGAAACAGTGCGTTATCTATTTAAATCGTCCAGCATGTAGTTGTTGTTGTTGTTGTTGTTGCTGCAGCTGCTGCTGTTGATGCTGCCTGTGACTCATTGGAATCGTTTTAAGGAACAACACTTTTCCAACTTTACGAAAAATGTTTTTCTTTTTTTTTCTGCGCTTAATTGTTTTATAAAAACATTCGTTCCTTTCTTCCCTTTTTTTTCTTTTTTTTTTTTATTATTATTTTTTTTTGTTTCTAGTGGTATTTTTGTCTGCCACAATATTCACATGTCATAATCTGATAGTTTTTTGAAGCTTTTCTTTTCTGCTATGTATTTATTTTATTAACACTTAAACTTTTTTATAACTTTGTCCGTATATATTTAACTAGAGCGGTTGAGCGTAACAATGTTTAAGTTTGTTTCTAAAAGTATCTTTGATTATAGGTTTCTCTCTGTAGGTTTGTGTTGCAATCTTAAACGAAGAAATCACACACTTGCGGCAGAAAGGATTTCGTTGAAGCAAAAAAAAACGTGTACAAAGAAGTAAGAAAAGCAGGAGAAAATAGAAATTCGACAGTTTTGAGCAAAAAAATAAAAAAAAAAAGAAAAAAAGCAAAAAAAAAAATTAAAAACGAGGCAATGAGTCTCGCTACAGCAATTTCTGGAGGACCAGAACCAAAGAAGTTACGACTTTCTTTGCCAACTCAGGTAAAATTTTTTTTCCATAGTGAACGGAATTCGAACTTACTGCCGCAAAAAAATGATGAATAATTCAAAAATCGATGAAATAGGCAAAAACCTTGGAAAATGCTTGTTACTGGTCAAATGATAAATGCTTTAGAAGCGTGCGAAAACATTGCATCTATATGTATCTGTGGTACAGTAAGGTGCTGAAATTTTACATCGCAGTTTCTGTCAAGTGTAATCCAGATGTTTCGTATTATAGCTACGCTGCTTTCATTTTATTGCATTTATTCACTTATGAAATTAATTTAGTTTATTTAGAATCAAAATTTTGAAAAAAGTATCTTGTGCAATATTAAAAATGGAAACTAATGTGTCAAGAAGCGAGACGTTTACATCACTTACAGGTAGTCGTTCAAAGACCATCTTATGGTTGTCATCAAGACAGCACAAGTGAGGTGCAGTCACCAGTCAACTCAACTTGTCCGGCACGATCTCCAACATCGACAGCTATTGTCAAAGAGGAAATGGACTACGGGACTGATGATTTCAAGTCACTCCTACAAAACAACCAAAGTCTTGTTGATGTACTTTCGACCGCAATGATGTTTCAGGCGAATGTTTTCTTAAAAGTAGGCAGCAATGAATCGTTGATTATTTCTGCTTTTTTTTTT